TAACAGAAACATAATAATACGTTAAAATATTATATCCACATGGAAAGATAGCATGGCAAAAAAATAATGATTTGACAATAAAAATTTTAAAAATTCTCTTTTTTCCTCCTTTTTCCCTTTCTCATTCATCTTCCTTTCTCCTTCCTCTTCCTTTCCTTGCCTTCTTCATCAATCAATTCTTCATCATCATCTTCTTCATCAATCAATTCTTCATCATCATCACCAAACAACACCCACAAAAGCACAAATTTTTTTTTTTTTTGCTGAAAAACCTAAGCACTAGGTTCAATCGAACCCAGCATCGAGTTCCAAGGAACCTGGGCTTGGGTTCATCAAACCTAGGCATTGGGTCCGATCGAACCTAGTGCCAGGTTCCAAGGAACTCAGGCTTGGGTTCATTGAACCTAGGCGCTAGGCTCCAAGGAAACCCAGCGTCGAGTTCAAAGGAACCTAGGCTTGGGTTCGTCGAACCTAGGTGTTAGGTTCCAAGGAACCTAGAGCTTGGGTTCCAAGGAACTCAGACGTTGGGTTCATGGAACCCAGACGTTGGGTTCGATTGAACTTGGGTTTGGGTTCCTTGGAACCTAGGACATCAAGGGGAAAGAGAAGGAAAGATGAAAAAAAAAAAGAATTTTTTAAGTTTTTTGTTATATTATTAATTTTTCCATGTCAGTAATTTTTTGCCATGTTTTCTTTCACATGGGTTAATATTTTGCTGTGTCATCATCTTACCATGAATTAACAATACACATAATGAGATTTTTAACGAAATGACTAAGTTAAGATAAAAATGATAAACGGTAAGGACTAAATGAGAGATTTTTTGAGTTGAGAAACTTAATTAAGGGTTGTGTGATAGTTAAGAGAGAAAAAAAAAGAAAAAAAAAAAGAGGTTTAACCAAACAGAAAAAATGCCAAAGTAAAATACAGAAGAATAGAGCAATTCTAAGATGCATCTTACATACATCGATCAAAAAGAAAAAAACAGAGGAATATTAGCTGTGTGTGTCCCTCAAATACCAGCTTTATGGTACATTAATCATTGAACCCAAACATCAAATCCAACTACAACCAAGGCCCCAACACCCTAATCAT